CCAGTGTCGGGTGCAGGTGGCTGGTGCGGCGTTAGCCAACACCTAGACATCCCACCACGCTCCCCTGTTCGAAATTTGTTATGAGGACCCAACCCGAATAACGCCTGCCGTTAATTGACCTAGCCGTGTGTTAGCCCAGTGCATTTAACACGCGGGAGACTAGCCAGTAGATTCACAAACAGGATGTTAACGGGATAGTTATTCAGCATGACTGGAAAGTAGACCAAGTCCTATTCCAGTCTTAGAAAGGAACAAGCATTGATAAAGAACTGATTTCCTTTGTGGCATATTTTCGAGAGAGAGATAAATACTTTTCGATTCTTATACCCACAAAAGGCTCAACAATAAGAAACTTTGGTTGTGGGGGGAGGGCATTAACAGTAAAATGGTTCCGTTTGGTAACCATAATAAGCTTACTTTAGCGAGCACAATTCGGTAAATTATTATGTCAAAAGAGAAAACTTTGACCGATTGTCAGTAACCTAGAAAGTGCATTTCCCGAACAAACCTGACTGGATGAGGTATCTGTTGGAGTCTGGCATAGGTCATTGGCAAGTTCACGCAGTTCTGCATTGATGTCCTCAACGAGATGGTCATCGGGTCTACAATAAGGTAAAGAAATTGTGATGAAAAAAATTGCCTTTAGGTACGGTTTATAGGTGCGATATTAGAAAAATCTCCGTGGGAATGAAACGTATGGGAAACACTAAGGGGTTCTGGCGCGGTTTCATAATTTTTATCTGAAGCAACTGAAGACGAAAAGGAATAGAGTACGTTATAGCATCCGGCCTTATGATTCACGTCCTAGGGCTCGTTGGTCCTGTATGAACACATTTCTACTTTTAATTATAACGACTCACGACTCCCGGCGCACAGCTTCCTGCAGACACGATGTTAACTGCCGAAAGGGTTGCTTATCAAAGCCGCGACACCTAGTTGATTGGAGTCAAGGGCCGGAAATGACAGAGAGTCACGCGGTTCCTCGAACGAACACCCTATTGGTCACCTTGAGCTTGGTTCTCTGTGTAACAATGGTTAAATAATGTCAAGCTTTGCTAACCAGAGCCAGAGAGCCAACACGTGCTTCCTGAATCCCTGTAAACAACATGCAAACTTTGTATTCAAACGATTGTCAACATGCCACGTAGATCGAC